TAAATGTACTTAAAGACTGACCAGGAATCCTTTTGATAAGTTTGGAATATGAACTCTCTTCCCCTAAACTGTCTCAGCGATCTGCGGCACTGTGGATTCAGCAGTGTAGTCGGTCTAGCCAGGTGGGATCTGATGATTGATCAATATCCCTGATACGTCGCCTCTCGATAGGGCTCGTGCTGTCATGGTTACAGAATGAGCAGGTGGTTGATGTTGAACCCACACTAGCCCAGCTGGGGTTCAGCACGAGATACCTTTATTTTGTGGGGCAACTCCCCTCCAAGACACGTGACTTTTTACAAAACTTAATGTTAGCATCCAAGTCCAAATGACGCCCATTGAGCAAGTAACAGTCCAGAGCCTCTCTGTGCTGTGTGCCTGCACTATTCCTCGTTAAAATGTCCATTTAAACAGGAAAGCAGGTCTGCCGTCTCCCATGGACTGGAAACTCCCTGCAGTCCAATCTAGAGAAGGGCCTTCTGTGCTGAGGAACTTATTCTGCCGTGTGATGTACTGTATATGATATTTATATGCGATTTTATCAGCACACTGCTGGTGTGAAGGATTTTCAACAAACACAAAAAAACTTGATTGAATCATGCCGAAACAAAGCCCCGAACAAAAGGAAGCAAGTTATGGAAAGCTATGTTTTCAGAAAAGTCGTGAGTTAGGGGACTGGTCTCTCTCTGTGGAGCAGGCGGGACAGGACAGGGCTACAGGGTGGGTCTTATCGCCCAGAGGAGAGAGGGCAGCGCCGGGGAGCTGGGTGTTTTTTTTTTCCTCTTATTTTTTTTCCCTTCTGAGCAGTTTGGAAGAGAAGAGAGAGCCCAATTATCGCAGGCTGAGAAGTGACCCATGAATACTCCCAGCGAGGCCCAGCAATCTCACAAGCACAAGGGTCTCCTACCCCCGCCTCTGTCCCTTCTCTCTCTCTCCCCCCCTCTCTCTCACAAAAGCAAGGCCCCAGGACTGCAAAGTGCCAATTAACACTGAACGTTTGCCCCTGGCACCTCCCTCTCCAAGCCCCTGACAGCTATGGTGTTTGGGTTAATACCAAAGGGCCGCCAGGAATTATAATTCTGCTCCTTGTGCCCACAAGCCTGCCTCCCTCTCCTGCGAGCCTTTCCTTTTGTTTCCAATAGGGTGGTTTTACAGTTCAGTGCACGTTCAAAGGGTGATGGAAAATGACTTTCCAAAGAATTTCATTTGGGGGGAAGGAGAAGAGGGGATTTGCTGGGATGGGGGAGGGGGCTGTGTTGGTGGTGGTGGTGGTGGTGGGGGTTTAGGGAACGCAGCGACAACACTGGAGGGCTGAAGGGGGAATGGCTCACTCGCTCGGGTGCAGTCTAGTCACCCCCAAGTCTTGTTCTGAGCCAACGGATCCTGCCCATCCAGGCGGTATCGCAGTTCGGTCCACACCGGAGTCCGGGCCGCTCCCCTGTCTGTCTGTGCTGTCTGCGCTGCTCCCCGATAAGAGGCTGGCAGCAGCAGCTTGATCTGGGCCTCCTGTGGCTTTGTCTTCACAGAAATTCGCACCCTGAGCCAAGGAGAGCGAGACACCCCTCCTGGGGGACTGTCAGAACGTGCCGATCCCCCACCTGCAAAATCTTAGCCCAAAAAGTAAGGGCTAGGCATTTGAAAAGGACTGGATTATTATGCGCTTATTGTCTTTGCTTGAGAAGGAATTATGGAATGAAGGGATGTATTTTCAAATGTTCTGAAAGGGATGAGGTCCAGCACTGTTTTTTTTTCTTGATAGCCCGGCTCAGCCAAGCCGAACACCACTGGCCCTGCCTCTCCCAGAGCATCCTGGGAGATTAAACCCTTTCCATCCCCGACTGGCCACTCCCCCGGGCTGGACCCGACCTCATTCCACTCCGAGACCGGTTTTGGCACTGTTTGAAGAGGCACCGTCTTTCAGCTCTCTCGGCTGATAAATCGGTGGCAAAAACATTTCAGACCTGCACTGCCACTCTAGGTGGGAGAGGTCCAGTAGCAGCTGAGATGTTGGAGCTTTAATCGTGAGAGAGCAAGTGCGGCCGTCCTCTGGGTTTTTAGAAAGATTTTTACCAGGATCAAGGGGGGCTGGACCATCTTGTCAGCAGGATAAGCTACAGTATGATCTCATCTAGGCTCCACGTAAAGGAACCTAAAATAGAAAACGAAAACTCTGACCCACAGGTGCCAAGAATGTGAAGCACTACACTACACGTCTCTCCTGTCTTTCAGTTATAATGTTTCATAGCTACAAATGGCTTGAAGGCTTTCTTAGATTAAATAAACATGCTGCAAGGACCCAAGAAAGCTTATTAATAAGCAGACACTATTCCTCATTTGTTTCCTAGCTTATAGATTCGTGAATCTGGTCCAGATGTTTCTGGAAGAATCCCAGGGCATGGGGCACGACTAGGCAGTTTTGTTCCAGATTCCAGCAAACCCCATTTGTGTGAAGAAATACTTACTGAGTTCAGTCCCAAGCTCTTCCTGAAGTTTTGGAGTGCTCCTAACTAACTGAAGCAAGGTAGCCGTGACAACACATGCCGTGTGGACAGTAACCAGGGGTTTCCGTCTTATAATTTGAAATACACCATCTTGAAGACTTCTCAGTTTCTTCTTGAGTAAGGTCTGCGTTTGGTCAGAAGATCATGGAACCAGGATTGTTGAGCTGGTTATGAGGGTGTTCCTGATCACCAGTGACTTTTTAATTAGTCTTTTTTTAACTTAGAAAAGGGACTTCATCTCATGCGGAGTTAATGTGAGTGTTAGGCCTCGGCCTTCAGAGATTCTGTGAAGGGACTCTGCCTCACACGTAGTGTAGCCAGTCTCGCAGCAAGGCCTTCCAGAGAGGCAAAGAGATGAAGACTAGAGGGACAGATGCAGGTCCTCAGTGCAGGGAGTGGGATTCACACACTCTGATCTAATCAGCATCACACAGCTGCGGCTTTGGAAGTTACCAGCTCCCAGACAGAGTGGCATGTCGGCCTGTTACCTGGAAAGATAACTCTTGACTTGCTGCGTCTTCATGGCACTTAAACTGAAGTCCCTGATGGCTTCATGCTCGCACTGATGGCCCGTTCTGGTCAAGAACACGGTTGATATTCTGTGGGCAGGTCGTACACAGGTGCGCTCTACAAAAGTAGAATTCCCGAGACCACGGGTTTCTGATTGCACGTTGTTACGGTCTTGGGTTGATCAAGGGAAACCTTATTTCCCTCCGTTTTTTGTGCGTCACGTTCCTGGTCGAGGGCGTGAAATCTGATGTGAGTCTGGGGCCTGCGCGACCTTTTACAGTGCAGTCCTCAAGACCCCAGAGCCCCCGTGGGACACAGGTCCTGTGGGCATTAAAAGGGAGTCTCTGCGCGGGCTGTAACTCATTGTGCTGCGGACAGTACTGAGGGGCTGGGGTGAAGCAGAGGTCAGCCACTCGGGCCTGCCCCGTCTCGGCCTCCTCCCAGCCCGCAGATGCAACAGCCAACAGGCCGAGAAGAGCAGCAGGGTAACGGGTGGCTTTTGAAGAAACTCAAGTAGGCAGCTGCGTCAGCATGCGTAGGCTGCAAAGGAACAAGTAAGAGGTTTATTCCATGCTGGAAAGAGAAGAAAAGAAACGCAATATTTCGACTGTGGAGCCTTCTTCGGGTGCCTTTTGCCCGGCGTCCCTGCCGAATGTCCACATGGGCACGTCGGTTGACCTCTTGCACAGGAAGCGGCCCTGCTCCAGGGCAGGCGACCGCTTGATGCCGTATCTGTGTGTCAGCTGCGTTCTTCTCACTTGGAGTTTTCCTCCAGTATGCCTGCTCCCGGCTGTCTCTGCCTTTGATTTTATTTTCGGTAGGATGCGAACTGAAACACGCCTTTGGGCCTACCTGGAGAAATCCCAGTTCTGCCGCAGCAGAAACGGCGCACAGGATCTTTGTGCAAATTCCTTTGGGAAAGGGTTGGATCTCTTCCGGTCTAAATTGGGAGAAGGATAAAATTGGTAGATGGGTGCTGTGCGTCTGCTGCAAGTGGGGCTGCCAGACTAATACTTAGTGTTTCCAGCCTTATCATTGGAGTTAATCTGCCACTACTTGGCATGAGCTGAAGAGCAGGGTGGTGGAAGCAATTATATCTAATAATCAGCATCTGGGAGCAATTTACCCAACAAGACGAGTTCAAGAAAAGAAAAGATAATTGCCCGGGATTTAAGAATTTGGTATCGTACACGTATCTTGTTCCAGCCCCTCAACCCCCAACCCCTCCATCCCAGACCCGGATATTCATGCACAAGTTTCTGTCCCAGCGTGCCGAGACAGCATTGGAATTTCAAGGCAAAACCGTCTGCTGTCTGTCCCTAATTCTCCAGCGCGCAGAAAACCGGGATCTGGGTCTGTTGAGTCTTGCTGTAGCAAGTGGGATTGCAGAGACCGCTGATGAAGTCAGAACGGTTTCCTGTAGGGTGCAGGAGGGATATTGAAGGGTCTCAAGGGTCCCTGTATTAACAGCTGGCTTGGGATGTCAGCAGACGCCTTGTTCTCTGTCCCCTGCTGTGGAACTTGTAGGCACAGCTTGTCCATTCTGTCCTCGTACAGCACGAGCCGAGACTGAACCACGTGTTCGGTCTCATCTTAAGTAAAAAAAATATTCCAGAAGTAAAGTGGAGGGATCAGATGTGAGACTTCTGTGCAAGACAACCTCACATCCTGCTTCAGTCCACATGCTCTGGAGGGGGTTCAAATTTAGCAAAGATGGTGAGAGGGTGCGGCAGTTTTCTTCATGGGCCTTGCGTGTCCTTCAAAGGAACAAGGTGAATTCTTTGCTGAGAATAGAAGATGGCTTGGTTTTGTCTATTGTAATAGTGTTCAATAGGCCGCTACTGTAGCGGAGCTAGTTCAGATACGGTGACGTCATCGCCCTCCCTGCTTGTAGCAGGGACCTCAGCTGCCTGGGCTGGGGGAGGTCTCCTTTGGCTCAAGTGGTTGGTGCCCTGTTGTGTTACGCTGGAACCCGGGTTCGCGCCCCAGGTGTTGAAGGACGGAACGGGCGGCGGAGGGCACGACCCCGCGCGGAACCGCGACGAATCACACTACCTGCTTCTTATCCCTATGCGGCGTGCCAGTGTGTAGGTCGTCTGGGAAGGCGACTGTTCTCCGGTATACGAGAGGATCGTATTTGAATGAGAAGAATAAATCCTTTTGTGGCAAAGAATAATCCTTTGTGTAGCCAGCTTGTGAATACGTTTGGTTCTAAGCCTGAACACCGTCCGCGGACACATGCGGATCTTAAAGCGCAGCCCTGATGAGCCTCCGGTGTGGTAGCTGTGCATTCCCACGCGCTGGGGAGTGGGGAGTGCAGTGGGCGGTGTGCTCCACTGTCACACGATCTTTCAGCTTGGAATCCACCTTCACCTGTCCGTCTACAGTCGGCACATCCCGTCCTTTCCCGCTTTCCTGTTTTTGTTTTCCCCCCCCACGGGAGTCCAGTGAGGGATTTCCGCTTCCCTGCCTGGGATGGGCCGCAGGGGAGATCCAGCAGGGCTCGGCTGGCGTCCAGACGCAGGGGGGGCCCGGGAGCTCGGCTGGGGACACGGCCAGAACCGCGCAAGTTGAGATCATGGCGCCGTGGATGTGGACAGCACCAGCCCCGTAACTTTGAACCATCTTTTGTTTACGTCACGTAAGGGCATTCTGAGCCACTTGCGCCATTTTCACACAAACGCGCCCCGGCTGTCCGAAATAGACCTGGAGTCGGGGGACTGGAAAGGGGAGATGTCTCCGGGATAGCAATCGTGCAACAGCCCGCAGCTCCACGCCCCCCCCTCCTCCTCTCTGCTCGGCGTGACCCAGCTCGCACCTCCCGGAGTCCACAGCAGCTGCTCAGTGTGTGAAGAAGGTCAAGAGTTCAACCCCGGCTCGGCTCCATCTCTCCCCCGGCCGAGAAGAGGCTCCACGTTCTAATTGTCTCTGCTGGCGTCCGCCGGGGTTCAAGTGCAGTGCAGGCCGGGCGCTCGCTGTGCGGCGGAGGGCATGCTTGGCTGGGCACCCACTGATTAAGTGCCTCTAATTGTCAGCTTTTATGTGCCTCCCCCCTGGACGCTCGAATATTCACACAACCTCAGCCCCGTTGTCATTGTCTTTCTGTTTGCGCGGGCCTGTGCCTTTCTGCTTCGTTAGTGGCGCCCAGCCATTGCACAGCCTGTCGCCCAGCGCGGGCGGGGGGGGGGTATGATATCGGGGACCTGTGAGAACGGATGGCACCTGGCACCTGTCGGGGCTGCTTTGCACAAGCCAAGGTTGCCCGAAAGAGAAGATCGACGTCTCACCCTGGAGTGGAATTGGCAGCTGGGAAAATAAATTGGGTATTCAATATTCCCGGATCCAATCCTGTCTCCTCCCAGATTCATGATTGAAACATTAAATCCGGCTACACGACCCTTGCCCGCAAAGAAGGGGAAAGGGGACAGCGTTTCTGCGTTTGGGGAGCACCAGATGAAATTGAATTTAGCCATTTGTGAAAACCGAGCTTGGAAATTTTACACCTCTGCCTGAGTTTTCCTCTGGATGACAGATTTGCATGCTTTTCCTTTGAGTTTCCCTTGCCTGTACCGAGATTCGCTGTACTTGGCTGGTTACCCTCAAGAAGGCCACTGAATGCCATAAAGGTGGAAGTGGTGATTAACCTGTAAAAACCAAAGCGCAGCTGATCAATAGAAGTAGTCACCTGGGGGGCACCCTGCCTGAGGTCACGTGGCCCTGCTGGAGCTAGGGAACTGCAGCGCCAGCTCCCTCTCGGAGCCAGAAGACACCCAGTCGATCCCGGGAGCTGGGGCAGAGGCGGCTTCGGGAAGTCAGGGGTGCGATGACAGCATTGGGGGGGGGGCGGCGGCCAGGGGCGGATGTGCTATGCGCCAGACTCCGCCATCTTGGGGAGGGGGACGCATCAGGAGCAACAGAGGGAGTGAGATGGGCGTAGACAATACACAACAATCCCTATGAAATCCTTCCTGCCTGGAACACGGCCTTCAGGAGATGGATAGGTACTTTATTGTCCGCCACTGTGGAAATCCCATAGGAGCAGAGAGCACACAAGCAACACAAAAGAGTCACATAAAATCACATGATAACACAGCAACAATATGTGATGCAAAAATAGGCAGTGGGGGGGACTCCATTTACATACATTCATTGAGCAGTTTTATTGCAGAGGGGACAAAAGACTTCTTAGAAATGTTTTGATCTGATTTGGTACCCTGTACTGTCTTCCTGATGGGAGCAGTATGAATTGAGAGCGGAGCGGCTGTGTGGAGCCAGTTGTGACATCTCCTCACCATTCCGAGACCCGCGTTATGACACAAGTCCCAGAGCTGGGGCTGCTGTTTCCCTAACGCGCACCGCGTCCTGCCAGTGTTCGCCTTGCGCTGTTAGCCCTGCCGTTGCGGGTTTTCTGAGGCTCGAGGGGAAGAGAGTTAAAGGTGCCGGCCCCTCCCAAGATCAGCAGAAACTCGTGCCGCGCCCTGTGGAAAGTAGGGGTGTTACCCCGGTGTCCTGGCCAAATTCCCCATTGGCCCTTACCAATCATGGCCTCCTAATAATCCCCATCTCTGAACTGGCTTCATCACTCTGCTCTCCTCCCCACTGAGAGCTGGTGTGTGGGGAGCGTTCCGGCGCACTATGGCTGCCGTCGCATCATCCAGGTGGGGCTGCACATTGGTGGTGGTGAAGGCGAGTTCCCATTACCTGTAAAGTGCTTTGAGTGGAGTGTCCAGAAAAGCGCTACATAAGTGTAAGCAATTATTATTATTATTATTATTATTATTATTATTATTATTATTATTATTATTATTATAAAACAGACACAGCGCGGGCGGATCGCCGATGGCCGGCACGTTGTCTCCCAGGTAGATCCCCGGCCCTGGTTTTGACAGGGAGGAGACAGGCTCCGCTGTCAGTATGTTTAAAAAGGATACCGGAGGCCAGCAGTCTTCAGACTGGAACATGTGGCGACAGTTTCTCAAAGCAGAAAGAAGAAACGTTTGCTGTCGGAGGTTTAAAAAAAATAAACTTTTTTTTTTTCCCTTTTAGGGGAAAAAGGATAACATTGTGAGGGTTCGCAGGGTAGATGAGGGTCCCTGTGTGCCACAGACTCATTCTTAACTCCAGCGCTGACAGATTGCTGTCACCAGGCAACCTCTCTCCTGCCTGAGTTCAGATTCTAGCCATGAATCACAGGCTTACAATGGAGCCGATGACACTCAGGGCCTGAGCTTGCCTGGGCTCACCCTGAGCCAAAATAGACCAGAGGTCTAAAAACCAATCTGCCGCAAAAACACTTTTAAGAATCGCTTGGAATTAAAAGCTGTTGGTACAGTGCCTCCGAGATTCTAGTGAAGTGGATTCACCTGTGGTGAAGAAAAATGTGCCACAAAAATAAAGTGGTTTAATCATTTGGAATGTGATAACCCCATTATAATAAGAAAAATAGTGGATATGAATAAAACTTTAAATGAATTGGTCCAAGTAGTCAGACTACCAGTGGAAGGCCGCTGTAGTTTTTGACCAGTTATTATTCTCGGGTGTCCTGAATGAGCCATACTGTGCACAATTGTGTACAATAGAAATTGTTTCTATTGTGTACAATAGAAAAAAAAAAACAGAATTCATCAGTGAAAATTCCGAAATGTTACAAAGTGTTCTCCTGTCTGTGTTTTTCCAACAAATACTACTGTTGTGCCCTTGGGGAAGATAACTCTCTAACTGGTGCTGTTGGGTTCAAATATAAACTTCTTTGGGTAAAAGCATTATCCAGATGTACTTTAATTACTATTCTGAATTAATTTAGAATCACCACCAATCTTTTGAACGTGTAGGTAAATTGCAGTTCAGTGGTGGCTGAAAGATGGGAGAAGTTAGCAGAGGAACTGGGGGTGAGATGAGAGTTCTGTTTCACTTTTTCCTAACAACGCGCCCCACTCGAGGCTCCACCTGGGTGATGACCTCTGACCTCAAAGCCTCGGGCCTGATCCCAACAGGTAGTCAGCGAAAATAGAAAATTCCAGCGATGCATCTCCCCCAGTCGGATCGGCGTATGATTAGACCAATTATAGGACAAAGGAATTCCAAATAAAAATGAAGATCTCTTAATACATCCAGTTTTACCAGTGCAGAAAGCAACACAGCGAGTGGAAGAAAAAATATTTTTCTGAGCCTTTAACCTGCAGAACGCAGGCGGTTGAAAAGTTTGGTGCTCACCTGATTTTTAACATTTAGCGCTCAGTTTCACTGTTTGATTGCACAGACAGACCAGTAGGCGTTAATCAAATTCATGGCACACATGCAGAAGTTGGATCTAGTAATCATTAGACTCACCATTCGTATGTGAGCATATGGGCGATTAGGAACGGAGTGCTATAGGTCACACACTTTCCACAGGCATTCACTGGACTACAAGTCCCATCATGCTTTGCTGGAGATTTAAAAGTAATCAGAGGAATAATTTTCGGTGGCACGTCTATAAGCTCAAGCCAGCCTGGGACATCTCAGGTCACATGCGTCTCTTGTGCAGTCAGGTGAGGATAATCACAGCATCTCTGCTTGGAAAATGCTCATCACATTTGTACTCCAGCATGAAACAGTGATGTCTGAACTGGGAGGCTCAGCCCAGTGTTTACACATTGAGTTGCTTGGAAGCCCCAATGAGCTTGACTTTAATTGTGTTTATCTGCACTTCCTGTACTTCCCAGAATGCTTGGAGGAACTCTTGGAGATGGGTATTATACATGCAGTTTATAAACAGCCTTTTCTTCCTGGGAAATTCTCTCATATTTTTAAAGATGTTTGGAAGGAATGTGTTTAACCTCAGTCTGATTTTTTTTCTATAAAAAGGGAAATTTCCCGATCGCCGGGATCTGTGGTCTCTGTTCATACTTGTGTGTGCCTGGGTTTGCCTGCTACCCTCTGTGGAGCTGAGAGAGTGTGAAGTCAGATTACACTGTCAGAGAAGGAGAGAGCGCGCTGGACTGTGCCAAAGTCAATATCCTCGTGGGCCCGGTGCTTGTGATTGCTACACTGAGGAGCAGACATCTTCTGTGCCTCATAACCCTGGATCAAACTGAAGAGATGAAAC